AATTTCAATCAATATTTGGCATAACTGTGACTGTGATCTCCCAATTTTAGGGGATCTCATAATCTTGTTAACTTGCATTAGCTGACCTAAACCTCACCAACGTACACAGAACTACGTGACAAACATTGACAGAACTGCATTTTCAGTGCGAGACAACCTTTTCAATATTTTTAAGCACCTGCACCTTTATGACTGGCTATCAAATATATAGAGCTGCTGTTTCCTTTTTAAGTATTATGTTATTCCAATAAAATTGGAATGTGTGTCAGGATAGGAATGTGAGTCAGATAATAGAGGGAAATAACAGTATATGTACAGTACTTGCCTCCTAGTGATGAGTGAATTCATTGTTAAAATATACATTTGCTTTGTTTTTCTCCATCCAGTGTAGCGTTTATACTCCGTGTCATTTAAGACATCTGTGCAAAGGTTCCATTGACAGAAGTGTTTAACATCTTTCAAGGTTAAAACTGCCAAAGAATCATAAGAATGAAAGTCGGTAAAGGCAGAAAAGCAGGCATATGTTTTATGTCCACTGTTCATAGACTTCTTAATAATAACCGTGAAATCCAGTGCTATTTAAAGCTTTCCATCCTGAAAACAAATGTCAGTACTTTAAGACCAGAAAAAAACAATAGAGAATTAGCCAGAGCAGCAGCAGACCATTGTCAGGTGACAATTATGCAGAGTGAGGGAGAATAATAATTCAACATGAACAGTATCAAGTCTCAAGTTTCAACAGCCAAGACCCAAGTCAAGCCTCAAGTTAGCTGGTTCAAGTAAAAAGAATGACTTGAGGCACAGGTCAGCCATGGTGTGAAATGTTTTATCGTCCTCAACAAAAGCATTGTGGCTGAGATGGAGCTCTGCTGGCTAATCCCCTGCTTTCAATATTATTAGCAGGCAAAGGATAACTCTCAGGGGATGATTATGTGGAGATGAGGGACGAGTCTTGTCTTGTTGCAGACATTGCACCACAGGTGTCATTCTAAAAAACTAACATCTGTGAAAGAACTTTTGTCTGGTCTTAAAGAATGTTGCTGTCAGGTTTCAGGCCGTTGACACTTCAAATGTAACTCTTAGTGAGAAACCACACTGTAAGGGACTGTATGCTTTTAGGTTTCAGTTGGATAAATCTCTTTCAGATTTCTTTCGATATCACATGAATGTTTGTCTTCTCACGATGATAACATTTACCTCTGAGATTTGTTTTGGACTCTGTGATCACCTGAAAAGGCAGATCTCCAATAATTCAAATGAGGGAGAGAAATCCTTGGAGGAAAGGAATTGAAATTGTGCCCAAGGCAATGCAGGATATGTGGGAGTGGGGAAGAGGAGGGGTTTTTATAATCAGATTGCCCCAGCTGGAAACTGTATGGTAGCCACACCAACTTTGTGGAGGTGGGGCATGTCGAAGAAAAGCTTTTGAGCTGTCTTTACCACTTCCATGTTAGCAGAGCCACACAGAGCAGACATTTAACATCAAGGGGAACTGTTGCATAACCCACCCTGAAAATAATGAGAAGCAAAGGGAATTTAAAACTAAGATGTCAGCCTCTGGGGTGAGTCTTTGTTTTCTCTAAAGATTTCAGCTCCTGAAGGTCTTTAAACACCCCATTTAAAATAAAGCTGTGAAAAATCTTCGAATCTTTCTGTAGGATTTTGTTGTAAAACCTCAACCCCTGTAAAGTCCTGTCAGAAAATGTATCTAATTTAAATTAATTATTGATAACTTACTAGTTACTTCTAAATTAAAAATTTCTTACTCAAGACAAAGCTTAGCTTTGACGTTTTCAACCAAATTCGTGTTGTGCAGTTAGGTAATTAAAAAGTCATGAAATCCATTTCATTGGATGTCTTTGGGTAAGCTTTAAATTTAATTTAAATGTATTTTTTGTGGGTGAAGCCACTTTGTTAAACCTTGATGTTTTTAAACATTTGGTTTTTGGGCAGCATACATAGACATGCAGACCTTTGTCCTTTTTTATTGGCGTACAAATTGTAAAAGGCAAAAATGTAATGTAAGCTGTGCTCTGATGGTATTGGACCAATTCACCTTGTGCCATGTGAAATAAAATTTAAAATGTTTTATGGTGTTTAAACTTTGAAGAAAAGCACTTATAATGTGAACAGCCAGTTGTTGTGAAATAAATTTTTATCTACATTATCAAAATATTGAAACGAAGTACACGTACAAAGCACTTTGGTTATATATAGTATGTGCTATCTTGGATGCTTTTACGTGTTGCATGTTTTGGTTGCAGTGAAGAGGCTGACTTGGATAATTATGGTTGTTAATCTGTATTAATTCCATTAGCTGTTCTAAATTATTCATTCATTCGGGGCATTGATTTGTAATGAGATGTATTAATAATCGTATTATTTATATTTTACTTGTGATGTGTTTTTTTTAAATCACATTTGACTTATTAGAACTTTAGTCTTATTTGAACTCCCAAAAAATCCTTAGTCATGCTGCATTGAACAAAAACAAATGAAACGTATTACATACAGGGTTAGTCAGTGCATCTCATTCATTTGTGCGGTCATACATCTCACATTTCCCATCAAAAGAAATTTTATCCCAGAGGATGATCTCAGATGAGGTCATTAACACAATATCACCGCAGGGAACAAGGAAGTGGGTCCATCTACGGTCTCAACAGATTCCTTATTTTCAGACGTGATTAAAACATTTTTTGCTTACCATATATTGGAGAATCTCTAATAAGCTCATTTGAAGTGATGGTTTTTAGTTTGCAGATGTTACAATTTAATGAAGATATGGGATTTCAGCTTTTCTCGATTCAGGCTATTACTGAATGATATTGGGTGTTCTTATGTAGAACTGCTCCAAATTGTTTAATTTTCTTGGACTTTAAAAACCCAACTTGGAGCAGAGTCTAAAAGAATCAAACTTGTTACCCATCTTTCCCCCCAGTGCCTCCAGCAAATGATTGACAAAGCCAATATCTGCTGTGGCTTTGCATGTTTCTAAACCAGCTTCTTTTGAAATTCTCACCACGTTTGCATTGGTAACTAATTTCACACAGTTTGGCAGTGATTACCTGTTGCAGCTCAGTTTTACATTTTCTTTTTAATGTAAATCATATTATGCAGCGCAATGATGGCAAGGGCTTGGCACCAGTTGTGTTCTTGCTGTTCTATTCACCAAGTGATATCTGCACAAGTTCCTGAAATTCCTAAAAAATTGGAACACATTTTAAAAAAACGTTTCAGCCTTAGAGCCTTCTTCGGGTGTGAGAGAGACAAGGCAGTAGGCAGAGGTAATTTAGTGGGAGAACAAAGGCTGGGAGGGAGGAGGGGTTAGAGGTGGGAGCAGGGGACAGAAAGAGAGGCCAATCAAGAGGTGTGAAGTCAGGATAGGTGTAGAAAGGTGTGAAATTAAACTTCCAATGAATGGAGAAAAAGTAGTAGAATAGTAGTCTGTCGTTAAGAGAAGGGGGAAAGTGTGATCCTAGCTGCAGGATAAGGTTTCTGTAGTCTTTCTGATGTATGAGTTCGGAAAACCATCTTTGAGAACACAGACGGAGAGATTAGAGTGGTCGTGGCCGTCAGAGGTGAAATAAGAAACAATGGGCTTGGAGAGATCTTTAATCTTCACAGCCCTGATATATATCACCATCCAGATGGCATCTTGTACCTCCAGCAACTTTATTTACTGTATGTCTTGCATCTTAAAAAATGAACTGTAGCAAAAGGAAGTTGTTTTGTCTTAAACCATCATAACAAACATGCTTGGACTTTGACACATCTGTTAAACAGATGTTCCTGTTTATTAGGTAGTGTAGTTACTGGGTATGGTGCAGTTAATTGATTTGGATTGTTGGTGATATGTACTTTTTTCATTATTGTTTCTGATTTATAAGCAGTGTGTCTGGAACATTCTGAAATAATTGAAGTCTTTGAAATGAAGTAAAGATGAAAGCCTTTAAACATGAATGGAAAGGCGCTCTTTGAAAACAACAATGCAGATGCAATCTATATTCTTAACAGGCAAGGATACTATTTGGGCCTCTTTGGCTTTCTGCAGTCATTTCCTGTCTTTCATATTACCTTTCTAGTATGTCGGAAGCAGTTTTAAATATTTTTTTGTATTGATGGCATAATAGTCAATGACACTGGGTAAAGTAATTGGAGCTCGTGAATTATGGCGATAAACTATGTAGTTCTGTGAATGATCTTGACAAAATCTGAACAGACTTTTGAAATATATGCAAAATACAGATGCTATGCAGATCTGTTTACCACAATTAAAGTAATGGCTCCAAAAGATATTGCTGAGATTTGGTCTCAGCAGTTTCTGTTCCTTAGCAGAATAAAAAACAACTTTGAAGAGGGAAAATGGCACAAATTAAGTTGAAGAGAGACATGATAATGCCAATTTGATTATATACTCCTAAGGAGTGCACTGTTTTCTCTTCTGTTGTCATTAATTACTTGTTTACTTTTGTACTATTATGTTTACTCTGAGGTTTCTAATCATACAAGAACTAATGATTAGTTAACAAGATCTGCAATTGTGAAAGGACCTTGTATAGTGGATATAAAAAGTCTACACACCCTTATTGAAATTGCAGGTTTTTGTGATGTAAAGCCATAAATCAAGATCATGTCAGACATTTTTCCATCTTTAATGTGACCTTGCAACCAACAAAAGCCAAGAGAAAAACAAATGGATAATTATTAGGAAAAATGATCTAAATTAAAAATCCTATTACACCCTGGTTGCATAAGTGTGCACACCCTTTTATAATGGGGGCTGTAGTTGTGATCAGTGTTAACCAATCACTGGTATTTACATGACAAAACCCTGCAATTTTAATAAGGGTGTGTAGACTTTTTATATCCACTGTATCTAGTTGATTGATCAGCATAGTCTTTCTGTGAATTCAATCTAAATATTGGCATGAAAAGAGTGTGAAGCATTAGGGTACAGTTTACTTCAAGGAAATGATGCAGTAATTTTTATTTTACAGATAAGACATGATTCCCATCACTGAGCTCCGTTACTTTGCTGACACCCAGCCTGCTTACCGGATCCTGAAGCCATGGTGGGATGTCTTCACCGACTACATCTCCATCGTCATGCTGATGATCGCTGTCTTTGGGGGAACGCTGCAGGTGACTCAGGACAAAATGATCTGCCTCCCTTGTAAATGGGTGGTCAACAAAACCTGCGACCCCTTCTCACCCAAAAAGTACATAAACAGTAGTGTTCGTCCTTCCCCCCTGGTCTACGAGCCCAAAGGGATCCAGTATGACCTGGATCGACACCAGTACAACTATGTGGATGCTGTTTGTTACGAGAACAAACTGCACTGGTTTGCAAAGTATTTCCCTTATTTGGTTTTACTCCACACTCTAATCTTCCTGGCTTGCAGTAACTTCTGGTTCAAGTTCCCCAGGACTAGCTCCAAACTAGAGCATTTTGTATCCATCTTACTCAAGTGCTTTGACTCCCCTTGGACAACACGTGCTCTGTCCGAGACCGTGGTGGAGGAGAGTGATCCAAAACCGGCCTTGGGGAAAATGAATGGATCCATGGATAAGAAGGCTTCCTCTGTCAGTGAGGACGTGGAAGCCAGTGTGCCCATGCTGCAGAGGACTAAGTCTCGCATTGAGCAAGGGATTGTAGATCGCTCAGAGACGGGAGTCTTGGACAAAAAAGAGGGAGAGCAAGCGAAAGCCCTGTTTGAGAAGGTAAAGAAATTCCGCACGCATGTTGAGGAGGGTGACATTGTCTATAGGCTCTACATCAGGCAAACTATTATCAAAGTAATCAAGTTTATTCTCATAATTTGCTACACTGGTTACTATGTGAACAATATTAAATTTGATGTGGACTGCAGTGTTGATATCGAGAACCTCACGGGATATCAGATGTACCGCTGTGCTCATCCCTTGGCCACCCTCTTTAAAATCCTGGCATCCTTCTACATCAGTCTGGTGGTGGTCTATGGCTTAATCTGTATGTATACCCTCTGCTGGATGCTGCGGCGTTCTTTAAAGAAGTACTCCTTTGAATCAATCAGGGAGGAGAGCAGCTACAGTGACATTCCCGATGTAAAGAATGACTTTGCTTTTATGCTACACATGATTGACCAGTATGACCCCCTGTACTCGAAACGTTTTGCAGTCTTCCTTTCCGAGGTGAGCGAGAACAAGCTGCGCCAGCTCAATCTCAATAACGAATGGACCTTGGACAAGCTGCGTCAGAGGATCACCAAGAACTCCCATGATAAGCTGGAGCTACATCTCTTCATGCTCAGTGGAATACCGGACACGGTATTTGATCTCCTGGAATTGGAAGTCCTCAAGCTGGAGCTAATCCCGGATGTTACAATTCCGCCGATCATTGCCCAGCTCACTAATTTGAAGGAAATGTGGCTGTATCACACTCCTGCTAAAATTGAAGCTCCTGCTTTGGCCTTCCTGAGGGAAAACCTGAAATCCTTGCATATCAAGTTCACAGACATTAAGGAGATCCCACTCTGGATCTACAGCCTAAAAAACTTGAGTGAGCTGCACCTGACTGGTAACCTGAGTGCCGAGAACAACCGTTACATCGTCATCGATGGCCTGCGGGAACTCAAGAGACTCAAAGTGCTGAGGCTGAAGAGCAACCTGACGAAGCTCCCCCAGGTGGTGACGGATGTGGGAGTCCATCTCCAAAAGCTGTCCGTCAACAACGAGGGCACCAAGCTGATGGTGCTCAACAGCCTCAAGAAAATGGTCAACCTGACGGAACTTGAGCTGATCCGCTGTGACCTGGAGCGTATCCCTCACTCCATCTTCAGCCTTCACAACCTCCAGGAGATCGACCTGAAGGACAACAATCTGAAGACCATCGAGGAAATCATTAGCTTCCAGCACCTTCACCGTCTTGTTTGCCTTAAACTCTGGTACAACCAAATTGCCTACATCCCCATCCAGATTGGCACACTCACCAACTTGGAGCGGCTCTACCTGAACCGCAACAAGATCGAGAAGATCCCTAGCCAGCTCTTCTTCTGTCGGAAGCTGAGGTTCCTGGACCTGAGTCACAACAACCTGACATACATTCCAGCAGACATCGGCTTCTTACAGAACCTCCAGTACTTTGCTGTGACTGCAAATAGGGTAAGAACTAATCTATGTATTTCATTGGTTACTTTTGTTTTTGCTCGTGATTTTTTTTTGTTTTTAATTGAAAACTAAATTCCTTATGAACTAGAAGAACTATAAAAAAGCACCATTGATCCAGGCATAGTGTTCCATTCTTTTAAATTGCTGTTCTTACAAGAGCTAATTTGTAACAAGTATTTCTAACAAATAAAGATTTATTCCATGCTGAAAAGAGAAGAAAATAAACCCTTTCAGCTGTGGAGCCTTCTTCGGGTGTTCCCCATGTTGTTTCTTTTCTTCTCTTTTCAGCATTGAATAAACCTTTACTTGTTCCTTTGCAAGTATACAAAGTCTACGCATGTTGACTTGAAAAATATGTCTGCTTTATAACATTTATGTAAGCTACCAAAAATAACTGGACTGTTTCCAAATACCCAAAAAATGAACAAAACATTTAAGTTCTAAAAAACAACTAAAACTGTATCTGAATTATTTACAAAGTAAAGAGGAATGTTTTTGAGACATTTTGTGGTGGACTTTTGTTTTTAAAACACATGCCTTTAGATAGGCATAATACCCTAAATATAAAGTTCACTTTTTGCTGAGATGGTCAGCAATGTTTGTTTGAGGAATCTATAAGGTTTAGGCCTTCCCTTTCTCTGTTTTTTTTTTAATTACGTTTTATTAAAATTAAATGTTAACCCTTTAGCACCAGTATGAGCATTGTGAATAACAGCTTTAACATAATTTAATAGAATTTTTTCCCCTCTGCTCAGTGTGTTTATTTCCATTACATCAGTCTGACGTGGTGGAATAGTGAATGAAAAGAGCAATGATTTCCTAGAAATTAGTTTAAATCCACTTCAAGCTAAATATACATGCTTTTAACTGGACTCTGTGTTGAGCAATGACCCATTATAGAAACCATTTCTAGAATACTATATATAAACATGACTTATGCATCTACAGCTGTCTCTATAAAGTCGGCATCTGCCCCTAGACTTGTTATGCAGCCCACTTGGATAGTTCGCTCACCAAATATGACTATAGTTCTAGAGATTCATAGAATGCAATATTTCAGTACTTCTGGAATACTGGGAAAATGTTACAGTCATTTTTAATAACATTCTGAGAGATTATTGTAACATACTTTAGCAGTTGAAGAGATTCTGTACTGATGAGGGATGTTACAATGATGTCCTCAGTTTTGTGTCTTTGCAAAAAGATGGCTCACTCTGATTGTCCTTGGAGAATCCACAAAATGGGAACAGATGGTTAATTTCCCAGATATTTACAATACCCCACCTAAAATAATGTAAATTGGTCATATGTTGGGGGGAAAAAAAAGAACCAAAAAGTCATCTGAACCTATCCAGAAACTTTTCTCATTGCAATCAAGGCAACAAACAGAGATGTCTTCATTTTTTTGTTTAAATGGGTTTTATTTTATGTCCTTTGTAAAAGGTGGTGTAGACGTTTTTCTGTACCAGTAAAACTCTTTCAACTTCTTTCTTAAGTAAGTCTTAGCAAAAAGCAAATCCCTTTCCATGACATCAGGCTTTTTCCTGGAAAAGGAATTTTGAGGGGCTAGATGAAATGTCAGAGACTTGTGTAATAATGCCGCTAATGGGTACGTTTTTTACACTAGAAAGGCTGACCGTTACCGTCAGTGAAATCATAACCTGGCATTATGTTTAGCGAAACAGTTTAATCTTTATCTGTATTCCAAGATTAAAGGTTCAGTTACAAAGTCACAATGTGAAACACAAATCAGATTTCGTGAGAACCTTGCCTTTCTCAAGCCTGATGGCCTTCCAAGCCTGTTTGTGCTCACTGAGGTTACTGTTCTGTCGGCAAGAGATTGTGTGTTCAGACGTACAATGCGAAAAGCTAGCATGGTAATTCTGTTTCAGCACTTCCCTTTCTGAGTCTGCTCTCATCTCCTCCTGGGTTTCGCCTCTTAGTGTGATGTACATCAGTCCACCATCACCAGTAGCACAGATGGAAGTTCAACAAAGTCAGTCCTATGGGAAGGACTACTCAGACTGCCTTTTGACCTCTTTGTGTTACTTTCTATGTAGGCAGTGGAGACTTTCAACAACAAGCTTGTACATCTTGGAACTTTACAGTACATCCTACAAGTTAGGAGAATGTCCTGTTTCTTCTAAGATACTTGAGGGGTCAAGTCTATAGATTGTTTTAGAAAAAGCATTGAAAATTGAGTGTTTGAAATAATAAATGCTTCCACCTAAATTGGATATTCAAATTCACTTGATTTACCTAAATAATTTCTCTTGTAAATAAGGACTCAGAAGTAAATTCGGGTTAATTTCTTGCATAAACAAAAAAGCTGTGCTCATTTCCTAGTTTGATGCAATGTTTATAATGTTTGCAGCATTGCACAGACTAGTTCCCATACATAGTGTGTTTGTAAACTTCACTGGAAGTAATGACTTATCTGAAGACAAAATCATCTTAAGGCTGTGTCCTTTAAAATGTGACATTTTAAATGCTTTTGATAGATTTAATGAAGTCACTGAACCTGATTTCCCGAGCCAAGAGTTTCGTTTTGTTTTTCATCAGGAAGTGGTGGATGTGTGTTGGGTGGACAGTTTATCCTAGCCAGCATCTTTTGTGTTGAAAGTGCATCAACAATCATGGAAAATTCCCAATCCTTGTGACGTAGTTGTAATTATTTTTGTGGCTGAATGTTAAAACACTTAAGATTCCTGAGGCCTTGAGCAATTTGTCTTGATCAAGCTATCATGTCTTCAGCTACTAACCAGAGTGTAACACTGTCTGCAGGACATGGTAACTCTGTTATACACACTCTTATCTAAAAGCATGAAAAAGAGATGGCTTACTCATTTTCCATTGATTTCACAGAACTGTGATCTGATCTGTTGAGAGATGTTTCTTGACATCCAGAGTAACAACCTCCTAGCCTGAAGGTTTTCACTTAAGGATCTTGCCCACTACGTTCTAAGTTGGGTGTTCTTATTGTACTGATTATATTGTGATAATGCAAAATTTAGTTAGAAATTTTACATTTTATGTTCATATTAGCATTTACAAATTTAATTTTTGCTTTATACCTATATATGTTGCTCCGGCAATAATAAAAATAAAACACAATAGTGTTTTCTTGGACTAAAAAAACGAAAAAATGATCAGACTGTGCTTGGGCTAAAAAACTAAACTAAAACTATTCTCGAATGTAATGTTGCTTGCTAATCTAGTAGTCTGAGTTATTAGCAGCTTTATCCAGCTGCTGTGGATGATCAGGACTTGCTGTGACAGAGGAAGAGATACTGATATAGGCTATCCACTGGGACATTTTCATTTCATCAGGCTCAACAGGCTGTTACTGCATTAATTAAAATTGTTTTACTGTTTATAAACTTTAATCACTGAATTGTTAAATGAGTGTATATCTGTGTGTGATTAGCACATTGCAACATCAGGATTTTCAATTCCAGGGCAAAACATCATTTAGTGGGTAGAGGAGCTTTTTTCTATTTAATGGAACAGTTTTTCACCTGTTGACCTGCTTTTATATTCATACAAAGCGTGACCCTGAGGGTACACAGGGCTATGAAAATGTAGTAGTTATTCCACAGCAGCAGATCTGCTTCAGGTTAAGAGACCTTACAAGCTCTAGTACGAATTATACAGCTGAAGCAGGAATAGAGAAGCTGATATCCTGGGGCGTGTTAGTGACTAGAGAATGTGAACTGCGCAATTATTTCACTATGGCAGACATTTACAAGTGGTTTAACTTCTCTGTACTCTGATACAAAGGCATCTTCATGCCTCTGTGGTTTGATTAGAAATACCTCGGAGCTGTAACCTAGATTTCTGCACTTGGTCAAGTTTCTACATGTATTCCTGCTAGCTGAAACAAATTTCCCATCAAACTCATCAACATTTCTCAATTTTAACCATTGTCTTTTTTGGGATAAAAACAAAATTCACATCACCGGTGAGGTTTTTATTCTCATTATTTACCACATGAATCATTGGTGATTTCTTCCCTGGATTTCGTCATTTGTTTAGTTGGGTGGTGCTTGAATTTTAAGAAAATAAGGAGTAGAAAATGTCTTTGGAAAGGCCGAGGGCCTCCTTCTGTTCCAGTGTTTGTGTCATGAGCTGGGCTTTAATGCAGATGGCCTTTCTTTCTTGCAGATTGAGAATCTCCCTCCCGAACTGTTCCAGTGCAAGAAGCTGCGAACCCTCAACTTGGGGAACAACTGCCTGCAGTCTCTTCCCTCGCGTTTCGGGGAGCTGACCAGCCTGACCCAGCTGGAGTTACGCGGGAACAGGCTGGAGTGTCTGCCGGTGGAGCTCGGGGAGTGCCGGCTGCTCAAGCGCAGTGGGGTCATCGTGGAGGAGGACCTCTTCAACACCCTGCCCTCCGAGGTCAAGGAGCAGCTTTGGAGGGCCGACAAGGAGCAGGCCTGAGCATGAAGGTCCAGGCATAGCACGGCTGGGTACACGAAAAGGACGCAACGGCCAGTCTAACCAGGGTCAGCCCCAGGCAAAGAGCAGAGGGACAGGCATGGACAGGAAGGGCAGCTTTTCGACGAGCAAGCTACGCTGGAGCAAAAGGCATCAAAACTACACAGATCCGGGCCCTGCAGTTGTATTACATTGCTTGTTTACTTTCAAACAAGAGGGAACATTGATCCTGGAGGAATACTTTTAAGCACACTAACTAGGAGACATGACTGGGAAGCCATATTGCTTAAGGCAAAAAAAGAGGTGCTTCTGTCATGTAATCAGTTAGAAGGGCAGAAGTGCGAGTGCTAATTTTGGCCACAGTGCAGAGGGCACAGCTCCTCGCTGACTGCTTTTAAGGCTGTGCACGCGGCCTTCCTTTGTGAATATTCATCTGCAATTCAGATGTTCAAACTGAGCGCCTGGATGCAGACACAAGAGGGCTTCAAGAGACTTCATTCTCTGTTCATGGGCGTTCATTTTAAGGAGAATGGAGTGTTTGAGAGGCTTTTTCGGGGTCTGAGAGCAGGGGAGCGTAGGAATATAGAAACATTGGCCCCCAGATACTGTCCCAGGGACTTCTATGAAATGAGCAGCGGCAGGACAATCCTGTATATAATAATCACATTACACTGTCTTGGAGAGGGGAAGCAAACTAGACGCACAGTGGCAACAAACGGGCATTGTGATCTAAAGAACACTAATTTTCTACCATCTCCATGGCAACCAAGAAGAGACGAGAAATACCACAGCTGTAGAACGTGAAAAGTAGGCCCGTGTGTATGTATGTATGACAGGTGAACACAGTAAAGCCTGACTGCAGTGCATGTATGCAGATAGCAGCAGAATTCTTTTCCCCATGGATGTTGGATTTAATTGTGTTGATTTAATCTTTCCTCTACCTGCCTTCTTTTGGTAGGGAATTATGTACCAGGGTAGCAAGATTGTCATATACAGTATGACCTATATACAACTACGTGTAATAACGGATATCCCCGCTCGATGATAATTTTAGTATGTTCCTTATTCCCAGATGCTTGAGTCATGCTGCTTCTAATTGAATTTCTGTATTAAAAGCTAGAGAATTCTGCAGTTGTGGGAGCTATACTATAAGAAGCAATACAGGTACATACCGGTTGTATTCAGATGTCTTTCATGACCAGTATTTAAAAGCACGGCATATATGATTTTCTGATCATAAGAAAGATGATGTAATTGTTGCTTCTGAGGGATAATACATTATGTGCCATTTAGGCCAGAAGGTGGGAGTGTAGAGATGCTATCATTAGTGCAAAATTAGTTTACAGACTGTAAAGTTTAACACTATTTACAGGCCTTATTCTGTTTCTTGGCCTCCAGTTGTAGTATTTTGTTTTTAATTCTTTAACAAACATCCTTAAAGAAACTGGATACACAATATCCAGTATCTGGATACACACACCTCTGAACAATACAGCGTTTATACATATATAAGCATCTAAAGGATATGAATAGATTCGTTCAGTTCACACAGTGTTTTACCTTGCTTGTTTGCTTTCACGGATCAGAGTCCTCAAAACGCACTGTGCTGCAGAGGACTTTGAAGACCAGCTGATATCTCATGTAACTAAGATTTGCCTTAATTTAAGTACTGCGTGCTGTTTGTCTGAAATGTATGGAAAAGACCAGAATTTTAATGTTTTTTTGTTTAAATACAACTATTTTTTAAAGATGAATGTTTTTAACAATACCCTGTCGTACCAGCACTGGACGCTCCTGGGATTATGAAGACTTCAAGAATGTTTCTTTTATGTTCTAAGGGAGGGTAGAGGTCAGTGTTAAAAAGACACAAGGAGCAGTGAAAATTGGTGAGCCTCTGAAAATCAAAAACAATTCTGTGGTGAGCAACTTGGGTGTTTAAAGCTGTAGGCGGCAGACACCATTTTTAAATGTTTTATTCCAAACAGTCATAAGGGCATGTTTGTGAGGTTAAGATTTTGAGTACTTGCAAAAGTCTTCATTGGGAACATGTTTAAATGCCCAAAGAATGAACAAAAAATCTGTCCTATGTGGGCAAGCAGCAGAAGGCGTTTGTAGAGCAAAAGAACAAAACTACAAAATGTTCCACTCTCACTGTGGAGGCTGAGAGATGGACATTTAAATGAGCTCTCTTTTTAATAAATGACCTTGGGGCCTGAGGGAAAATACCCTTTGATCCATCTCATGTCATAGGCTGTGCTTGGAGCACTGCAGTCATTCATAATTCCAGTTGAGGCCTTTCTTAGAAATGCAGGACTCTCACAATGTTTTTTTCATACAAGACTCGCTGACTTCATATCAAGTGCGGCTTTTTAATGAAGTTCGTAACCTTGTACAGTATATCATTGTGTTGATTCAGACACAGTTTGTGAAGTCCAAATGTGTAAACTTTACACTTTGGTTTGAAAAAGTATCACTAAGTACAACTATTATACATATGTTTGCAAAATCAATGATTCTGTATCGATTGGTAGATGCAACTTACATTTAGTGAGCAATTCTGTTTGTTGAAATTCTCTCACACATTATAATTTGTTTTGTACCATAACACAGAACCCTTCTTAATTTTTGACGGTTCTTCCTAGCATTTTTTTCCTTGAGCAAATAATCCAACTTCTTTCTCATAAGAACTAAAAAGTTATTTATTTTTAAGTTGCATCTTTTAATTTTTTTATCATTTTAGGATGTGAGCACACTTGAACAGAAAGGATTAAAAGACCATGTTTAACTGAAATTACTGTCTGTTGCAGTTCATTGGTAATGTAACTAGAGAGTCAAGTATGTCTCGGAATAAAAAGCAATTGAAATGAGGAAAATGGGGCCGAATCACTGACGTTTCCTAATATGCCTGTACTGTATTATAAAATACATGTCTAATGTACTCCATGGAATACAACTATACATGCTGTTTTTATTAATAAAAAACTGTTATGGAAATCTAGTTGCACTCATAAACAGAAATAATATTTAGCACTGATGCGCTAAAAGACATATTTGCGGTAGTATACAGTCCTAAACACAAAATGTTTCAGATTTTCAAAATACCATTTTCCCCAAACATTAAAAGGCATTTTTACTGTTATACATTCCTTATACAAAGACATTAGTCATAACATGTATGACTATATATTTCAGGTGGGTAGCTGTATCAGCATGCGTAGGCTGCAAAGGAACAAGTAATAGGTTTATTCCATGCTGAAAAAAAGAAGAAAGAGAACACAACGTTTTGGCCGTGGAGCCTTCTTCAGGTTTCGGGGCTATATATTTGTAATAAATAATAAAAACCGTGTGAAAAAGTTAATGAGTTACATCTATGAGAAACGTTTTCTGGTGTATGGTAGCATGGTCTACGTTTAGAGATCCAGAATCCTACAGCCTTTGTAGTCCTGTTTAAAAGCTCAATTTTAATAAATTGGCAAACTCCATGCTCATGCATGGCAGCAGTGTGGAGGACAAGATTCTGCTCTGGAGACCTGACTGAAGTGTTGGTTAAAATGTTATTTGGGGTGGACACTCCTTCTGGACCCAAGCAAAGGTTCCCATATTGCTCCAGTAAGCTTTTGGATGCTTTGGATAAAGACATCAGTCAAATAATGCTGGTAATTTTAGACATTGTGAGCACAGATGAGATTAAATGTATCCCCTCTGGGATTTTTGGATCACCCAGTCAGGAATCATACATTGTGTAATGTCATGCTAATCAGGTCATTTCAGGCTCTTAGAACATTCATACCCTTGATTCATACCCTTAATGATAGATATAATAGAAAGCAGGTATACATCAGTTTTTTTATTTCAAAATTAGTGAAATGAATAAAAGCATACTAGATATATAGCATAACTATAAAAATGAATTACAAAGATTTCTTAATGCACAAGCTTCAACTGTTTTTTTTATTTTATAGAAGATTTATAGAAGCTTCTGAAATCCACCTGGTATGAAAGGTGGCTGGAAACAAAAATTAAACATTTAGTACCACATTCTCACATGGAAGGTCAGAAAATCTAACATAAAATATATTAAACCTCTTAAATCATCAAGTAGTAGAAATGTAAACAAGACATCTGGTGTCCATCACCTAAATGTTTAAGGACAATGGTTGTCCTATTAGAAACACTAGGACCTAAGAACATTTTACCCAAATGTGCAGCCAGACAAAGCTTGGGAGGATCAACTCATACCTAAGGGCAAACATTAGGAATCCAGAAATCTGATATCATCTGGTCACAGTGTCTCCAAGACTGTCATTTGAGGTTAACCACATGAATCTGGGTTTTGTCGTAGACCTCCATGCCAACATAAAAAAGCATGAGAAAGGACTTTCTGTAATCCTACATTCAGTCACTTCTGAATTATCACTACTTTCTTTGCCATTGCAGTGTATTGCAGGCTTAGACTTATGTTATACTGGCTTGCTGATACTCAAATAAATTTGAAAGGAAGTTATGTAATAGAACTAATTGCAAAGTGGTGTTTATAAGCTGACATCAGCTTTAGGTAAGAACCTATGTAAGGTGAACCTCTTTCTAATGAATTGCAGTGGATCAGCAACATACTCCCACTCCATGTTTTAGATGCAGCATTTGTGAAACTTCATAGAATTGTGTGCTTATGCTGAACCTTTAATTAGAGTTAATTCCAAACATCGAAGATAAACTCTTTCAAAATGATTATAACTCCAAGTAACTGGCTATAGAACATCTACAAGCGATTAATAATTTTCTGGTGGGACTTGTCTTTTAAAACAAGGTTTCATTGTTTTTTACTACAATAGGTGCGATTTTTGGGTGACTTTGCATTCTTTACTGCTGAGTGCAAGGCAGTCTACTCTGGCTATCTCATGCTTCACAGTGAGACAAGGACAGATAATAGGAAATGCTTCTTTATGCAATGACTTGTAGGTACCTGGAACGGGCTTCAGAGCCAGGCATTTAACGCCCAAATTCTAGGCTTGTGTAGGAAAAGGCTGGAAAATATTTTATATTCACTTATTTTTATTCACCAAACTGGTAAATGAAGCAAAATGGACCGAATGGCCTCCTCTTGTTTGCAACCTTGTTCAAGTTCTAATATGTGCTAATAAATACAACCAGGAGATTTTAATTCATAGTAAATTTTGAAAAAAGGAACATGTTAAAAAATGTATTGTAATGAGAATGAGGTTCATTCTTTAAAGGAGATTCTGACAGAGTGGTCTGTGTTTGTGGAGTTTTCCACAACAAACCAATGTTTGAGATAGAACACTGACTTCTAGCTATTCAGAAATTACATAAGAATGCACTTAAAGGGTTTGCCTCATTAGGATATTTTAGTTGAATACTTTTGCAAATTTTTAATTTACTGTAGCTGTGTATCACCTGTTTTATTATTTCTTTGAAATATAAAAGTTTCAACTGCACTCCTTATACCAGGTGTAGTGTTCTACTACACTTTTAGGACCTCCTGGGCTAACACAGTGATTATTAGGAAATGTGCAGAATCTCTTTTCTAAACTCATTTTCAAACATTTGTACCAAAACAGATGACTGTATGGTGGTTTGATGTTTTCTATCAAGCAATTCTTTTTTTCATATAGAGCAAAACAAAAAGATAGTGATACACTAATGGTTTGAAGAGGCTAAAATTATGCAAACTACTGAAATGTGACCTAAAAATGTAAACATGTAGTTTTAACACATTTAAAAGAGGACAGTGTTTTCGCACAGCATTTTATGACTTCAGTGGTGTGTGTGTACAGTTGTATAGCACACTGGATGCTGTGTTACTGCAGCACAAATCATGCAAGGGAGAAAGAACGGCAATTATGATATACGAATTTCAAAGAATAAAGCTTCTGATGTCTGGTTAATGGTCGTTTTGGCTTTCACAAGAAATGAGCTTGTTGCATGAGTACTTCATAACATAACTAACATCCTACGTTTTCCAGGCCAGAGCTACAGTGCTTATATGACACGGAGAATACATGACAGGGCTTTTGCCTAAGTATGGAAAGGCAGAGGACAGAGCTGTCTGGTAATTGCCGTTTAGTTGAAAAAGTATATACTGAAGTATGTACGTTTATTAAAAAAACATGGAGTGGTATTGCTAAGCATAGGCATAATATTCTTGCATATAGAATTTGTTACAGCAGCTCCACAAGCTTTTCAGTTCTCATTTGGCATCTGTGTTATATATGTTCCAGTTAACCCATCATGCAGCATAATCTCTTTTAAAAAAATGAACTTGCCTCTGTGACACTTCTATTTCCTGTAAAATGTATAAATGTCTGTGTGTACAAGCTGATTCGTAGAATTTGTGTAAACAGCCCATCAAACCTGTTAACGAAAACACATTTATTTCCATTTGAACATAATATATTTCTTTAAATGATCTGTGTGTGTTATATACCAGAGTGGCCAATCCTAGCCCAGCACAGTTCACACATCTCCCATAATTATGTATTAGGCCCTGGATTAAATATAAATTACTGATCGGTTTAAGAAGAAATGCAGCTGGCAGTGGACAACAGTTCTGGTCCAAATAAACTATGTTTATCCATGCCATTATAGATAGGTGATTTAAAGGTGACCCATAAAACTTACTGGACTGAATCTCTCCAGGAGCACTGTTGGCTGTCCTTGCTTTATGCCATAGGCCAGTGGTCCTGGTCCTGTTGACCCACACAGCTGCTAGTTTTTGTTCCAGCTGAGCCCTCGGTGACACAATTTAACCCTTCATTGACTTAATGATAAGATTGATTTCTGTTCGTTCCCAGTTCTTAAACATGTTGGAGCTTTAACTGTTGTATTTTGTAAGTGGAATATAATCCCAAATTTGTGACTAGAAACCAAAAAATGCACATATTCAACCAAAGCAAGGTCTTAGATCAAGTAAGGCTTCGATTCTCTAATCAAGGTGAGATGGAAAACCAGTAGGAGTGTGGGTCACAGGTCCAGGAATGGGAATCACTGCTGTATCCAATCAGCCTTATTATAGAAGTGCACAATTGCTGACATACTCAGTTTTCCTTGCCTCATTTACAATGTTTTTATTTGAAACCATATGTTCAATTCTGTATGACCTGTGAGACTTTGTGTTTAATGTTTGCCGTTGCGTTTTAATTATATAAAGGCAGGTCCTCTTAACTGGGCAGATTTTCATATTTTGTTGAATTCGTGGTCATCAGTCTCCTGTCATTGTTCTATGGGCTTTGAGCCCATTTTGATTTTCTGCCAGTTTTATCAGTATTTCATTTTCATCTCCACAGAACTGTGTTCAGGGTGAGGCATTCAAGTTAACCAATATGTCCCGGACTTATTGACCGATATTAAACCCTAAATCAGATAAACCAAACTAGCAAGGCCACTTATTCTTACATAATTGGTCCCAGTTATTTGTTTTTTTTAGGCAATGTAGATTTTCTTTTTTGGCAAAAGCTGTGCAGTGAGGACATCAGATGTCAAAATGAACAAATGCATTTTTTTATGTATATGAATCAGGAGTACCATTGTGTATCAATCTGCTGTAATCGTTGTGTCTATTTCAGTCTCCTGTTCTGCAGTTTGGGGTCAGAGCCTGAAACAAACATTGTAACCCAATTTTCACTGTTGTCGATAAGTGTGAGCGAGTGCTCTGAGTATTTTATAAATGTTTTCTCCTTTTTTTTACGTTTCTGATATAAAATGATAATAAAGTAAACCATGCAAATACTGGTCTGCCTGCTGCTTTCCTCCTTCAGTGAAAGGTCAGGTAGGTTGCATAGGTTGCACATCCTTGCACTAGCTGCCCAGTAATCAAATTTCTTTTGAATTGTGGTATAAGCCCTCACTGTAAGGCTCTGTTCATATCAAAGTTCATGGTTGGAAACATAATGCAGAGCAGTATATTTTTTTATTCAGTAGATAAGTTAACCAAGACTTTGTACCTTCTTGTTGGTAAAAGGACTGAGATCAATGAAAACTGCAACAGGAAAAATGAGGCCATGTTACTATGGTAATACTTGTCAATCATTAAGGGTTACTTGTTTTAAAAGTGAGTTGATCACTTGGTTTGGTCTCTTTTTTTTTGAGAGTTGAGTTGAGAGTTCTGGGTGATCAACGTTTGCTGTATTATTCTCAGGCGCCAGGGGGCGCATTGCAATCTTCCCAAACTGTTGTAGTCGGGTCAGTCATCATGAATTAGTTAAACAGTAATCCTATTATCCCTTCAAGCCATTTATCAATCCAGTGTTACTGGCTTTAAAATCACATGTTGGAAAGGCAGTCTTGTGTGGAGGCGAAAACTGGATAGGATTTGACCTTCTAAGGGTAACTGGTAAAAACATGAATTTTATTACAGACGAGCAGGTTCAGAAGGTAAGCAAATGAAACATTTTAAAATTGGGGTTTTCTTCGGCAACGTCTGATTTCTGCTTTTGAATTATTATTTTTCTCCTGTATCTGAACTGAAATATAAATACACATTGTAATTTTTATGTTTTAAGTTTTCCTTTTTGAACTCCACAATGTTCTTTAAAATGAAACCACTTTCGCGGAATTACGCATTTTATAGATTACGCGAGTGTTGATTACGTCTGAGTTACCACTCGAGTTAAAATAACCATGACAGTTGTTTTATACATGCAATTCAATTAAATTGTTAGCTATTGAACATACGATATTAATTGTACTTCGCTTTCTTGTACGGTGTGATAGAACAGAGCTTCCCTAAAGCGCACACAACGCCTACAGGAGTGTCATGTGTTTTGTGACAGACCGGGGTAAAGTTAGCTTGAAGTTCGAAAACGATTTTGGCACGCCTGTAGCGCTTTCACGAAACCTCTTAGAGTTGCGAGAATACTTCCTTTGTGTATAAGATACATTGTGAATGCTTTCTCAGCCTTTACTTTGTCGTTTTTATGACATTTTTTTGACCAAGCACGAATATTCTTTTGTCCATATCTCCGCAATGGAAGCACAGAACGCCTTCAAACCAAATGCATTTTAAAGACCACGACTTGTGGATATTTCCACAGCCTTTACAACAAACTATCAGTGAGCTAATTATCTTTTTTTAAACCTCCGGTTTTTCATCGATGCGTAATTACGCACGAACTGGAACCCGGGGGACCGCTGTGTGCACACGTTCACAACGCGAGAAATACTGTTCAATACGGCTTCGTGCGAAAAACCCGTATATGACCATAGGAAGCAGAACAGCGCAGTCTCCAATTACCCAGACTGTAAGCACGGGAATAAAGCTTTGTTTGATTTCTGAAACCCTTCCTTTACATCCTGTTTTCATTCAGGTAAGGGTCAACTATATTCATAATACTACTGACAGCAGGAAGATTAAAATATTCTTTTCTCAGCGGCTTATTAAAAACAGCACCCATGATGTTCAAACCGACTTTTTACACAGAACACTGACACAGCTTTGTGTTCTGAATCTCTTTTTCTCGTGCTTTTATTTAATGTGGCACAATGCACTGGGATGGGGGTATTCTGTTCACAAACCAATAGCATTTAAACCACAGCACCCACAATGCTGCAAGTGTTTTGCACACTAAGCAGGTCCTCTGACTTTTCCCAGCTTTGTTTTGGGTTGTGGAACTCTTCTTTATATTTTTTAGGATTTTCTGAAGATAACACTACAGGTAATACACTGGGATAGGTGGGTCTTCTTCATGGCTCAATAGCAATTCAAATACAACAGCCACACTGCTGAAACCAAGTGTTTTACACACCAGACAGGCCCCCTGACCTCATACAACCTTGCTGTGGCTGTGGGCCCTTTCTTTATTTTTTTATGATTTTCTGAAGGTAACACTACAAGTAATACACTGGGATAGGTGGGTCTTCTTCATAGCTCAATAGCATTTCAAATACAACAGCCACACTGCTGAAACCAAGTGTTTTACACACCAGACAGCCCCCCGAACCTTATACAACCTCGCTTTGAGTTGTTTAACATTTCTTTCAAATCACTTGGGTTCATCAATCAGTTGATCATTTTTCAGCGTGGAATAAACCTATTACTTGTTCCTTGGAGATTACCATCTGCTGATAAGATATGATCGCTATATTGACCATATACAATTTCTTGCATAAGGAATTCATATTTTGCATACACCGATCCCCCCGGAGTCCCAAGTGATTCTGGTTTTGGAAAGCTAAAGGACAATGAGCTTCACGATACCAGGGGGACAGTGGGTGGTCAAGTCTCCCCTAAACAATG